GCCAGGTTGAGGCAGGAAGAACAAGAGAAGGAAGAAGCAAGGTTGTGGCAGGAAGATGGAGAGAAGGAAGATTCCACGCAGAGAAAAAGAAAGCGAAAAGAAGGATCTGACAAGAACAACAAAAGAGATCTAGCAAATGCATTTGAAGAAAGGCTGATGAAGAATGAAGCACATGCAGCAAACATACGCAAGGCAGCGGAGGCAAGGAGGCCTCAATGCTGGGATGATTTACCAGAGTTTGTTTCTGCACGAAAGCAGGCCCCGGCGAAACCCAGGGGCAGAAAGCCAAAAAAGAAAGATGACAATGAAGGCAAAGAAGATGAAGAGGAACCAGAACCACCGAAGAAGCCAAAGAGGAGAACAAAAAAGAGAAAGCAGCCAAAAGCGGAAGATGATGATGATGAAGACGTTCATGAGGAAGAGGCATTGAAGACAAGGGCAAAAGGAAAAGGCAAGGGTGAAGACGATGATGAAAGTACCAAGAAGAAACGAGCCAAAAGTTCGAAGTGTAAGGATGGCCAGGCTGAAGGAAAGCAAAAGAAGGCAAGGAAAGAGAAAGAGCCTGAGGAGGAACAGGTTGAGGAGACAGGCAAGGCCAAGTCCAAAAAGAGACAACATGTTCAGGAGGAAGACCGTGAAATGCCTCCAGCCAAAGAGTCAAGGAAGAAGCAGGACTATGATGATCCAGAAAAGGCAAAGAAAAAGGCAGCCAATAGTCGCAAGTCTTCTGCTTACTGCAAAGCACGCCGAGCGGTTTTGCTTGCCGGTGGAACCGAAGAGGAAGCAAAGGAGAAGGGCAGGGCAGCAGCTTGCCATGGATTAACCTGGTCACTGGCTACTTTGGGCCTTGATCCCTCGAACAAATTCTAAGTGAAAAGCCCAACACCCTCTTCCACTTCAAAACAGATTTCTCCCTGTGATTTGCTTTTATCAGCTAGCAGTGTAACTCTATTTGACTAGAACGTATTTATCAGCCTTATGCTGAACACACTGAGACTCCCAACCAGTTGCATCCGGTGCCACTTGTGCTGGAGCCCAGGCCTACCACGCGACGCCATAGAGCCAAAGATTTTGGGGATTGCTGGTGAGGGTGCCAGTTTGGTGAACCTAGCTTAGAATGTGGCTGGTTCCCAGTATTTGGGGTGTATAGATCAATGGATCTAGGATGCAATTTAAGCTGTTTGGAAGCATGCATGTGTGTATGTGCGGGCCTACCTGCATGTCATCACGTGGCAAAAAGATCACACTTTGCGGCAGCTCTCCATAGCTGGTTCTTTGCAGATTGAGCTAGTTTCGTTGCATTACAATGTGGACTGTGGTGGACTGAGTATCTTTGGGTGGGTGGCCATGCAGGTCATGCCGGAAAGATGGGCAGCCCGCTTTGCTTCAAAGAGTGGGCCTTTCATGTTTGGTACGTGGTGCTTAGGTGCAAATTGCTTTTCTGCGGGTCTCACTTCTTGAAAGCTTGTGCTGTAGCTGTATTGTGGCTGGAGTGTTGATAGTCCTCTTGGACTTCCTTGGGATGCCGCCTGGACGGTCCACTAGCTTTGTTCCTCCGCTGGTGCAACTCCAATCCCCTAAGGCCAGTTGACTTTCAGTTGTGTGAGTGTTTGTATGTGTGCTCCATGGAGGTCTTCATAGCAATTGTCTGGACCCTACCTTTCAACCCAAACCACCAGCCTTTGTTCTTGATTGGTCAAATGGTTCTGAGGTCCTGATGCTTCAATGGATGCAACCAGTTCAACAACAGTGGCAATTCATAGAGTTGTTTAGTGGTGCTGGAAACGTGAGTACAGCATTTAGGGATCACGGTTTCAATGTTTGCAGCTATGACAAAGTCAGTGGTGGCAAGTCGATGAACTTTTCATCGGCAGCAGGATTTGCGCTGGGCTCCAAGATGCACTTTGAAGTTGCCTCAAGAACTTAATGTTTTTGATCTGGGCATTGAGGCTGGCAATCTTTATTTGCATGTGTGCAGCTGGCTGGGTTCCAAGACTTATGGAAATGGCTAGCAGCTGTAAAGTGTTGGAACTCAGGTCCTGGAGCAGCTTTGCTTCTGGCACCAGAGTGTGGATCGTGGGGCCGTGTTTGCAGAGGAACAACCATGCGGTCGATCCTTAACCCACTTGGGGTGGCGTTTGACTTCGTTTTGGATGCCAATTTGACAATATCAAGGCCTAGTTTGGATAGCTGCATTCTCACCATATATGTATGCATGCACACTGTACCTTATATTGTCAGGTGTGTATTGATTCTCATTCTGGCCGAGTCAATGCATTTGGTTTGGGTGCTAGAGCAGCCGCATGGAAGCTCTGATGTTCTATGGCTACACCCACGTATGAGTTGGTTTAGCAACGAGATTGGTTTTGCCTTAGCCTCAATGTATGACATGGTGGCAGCATATCATAATATATCGTTTTGTTTGAGGTCTTTCGTCAAGACTTCTGGATGCAGCACCATGGGTGCCCATGTCCAAAGCGGACCAGCTGTTGGGGAAATGACCCCTGGGTCATTCAAAAGCTTGCCTGGATCTCGAAAGCTACCTGCTGTATTCATGTAACACATTAATTTCCTGAGGACTGTGGAACTTTGACAAAGGAAGAGAAGGCATCCTCCACTCTAAAAACGACACGCTGGAAGCTTATAAGTCGACTTCACCATGTACT